CGTTTCTGATTCAGAACCAAAGCTTCGTGTTTAAGAGAGCTAACTCTTAGTCACAGCAGTTTCACATTAATTTACAGGCAACTCCAGTTTACCAAACATCATCTGCAAAAAGCAAAGCACAGAACATCTTAACTGTGCTAGATTTAGCTCAGCTTTTTAATCCCGTTGCTGTTGGATGTGTACGTGACCACACCAAAGCCTCTCACTTCTCACACCAGTTTTGCAGTTTCATAAAAGTCTCTTTTTGCGGTGTCGTTTCAGCTGTTTTATTGCCTTATATCTGGTTACTCTTTTTACTAGTACATACTAGAAAGATTAAAAGAAAATAACTTCAAAATGAACAAAAACGAGACTGGAAAAATTTGGACACATCCAACTGTTTCTTTTTCCCTGCGGTTGACAACAACATAAATTCATTTTCAGATCTCCTGTTTTATCGCTTGTTTTAAGACGGAGGAAAGATGTAGAGTAATTAAATAAAGATCTTTTGCAGATGTTCTCCCTCTTTGCTCCTCATGTGGGGGGCAATGTCTGTTTTAGGGACCCCTTTTGTAGATCTGACAGCTCGCCAACAAAAATGAAGTTAATTCAGTGTCTGTTACGCAAACCGTAACACTGCTAATCTCATCTCCTCCAGACTCTTGGGGGTACTTGTTGGAAAAAAGGAAGAGCCGGGTTTGTGGCTTTGTCTCAAGTTTTAGATGCTGCGTATAGGATCATGTTCCTCAGCGGTTAAAACTTTTTGTTTTTGAAAAACGGCTTCCCCCTAGCTTCACTCTCAGGTTCTGCATGTCATTAAACTTTTTGCCACTTAGAATGTTAAAGTTTTCGGGTTTAATGTTAACTGTTGTGCGATTCTACAAAGACTTTAAAAAAAATACTATAGAAATGTATAACCAGCATTTTATTACATGTGGCCTTCCCATTGCGGTTGTCTCAGTAGTTGATACCTTAAATATAGCAAATGTTGGTCTGGAGTGTCTAGCGAGGAGACATAAACCCTCAGCTGGAAACATATTCACACTCAACATCCATAAAGCACTCACTGACCCGCTGTGGCAAATGTGAGCTCAAATCTCTTGTTTCCAATCCTCTTTTTAAGAACCTCTACCAGTAAATTACTGACAAAAAGCTGTGACAATACTGCTACATAAGCACATCTGGAAATAAGTGGTTTCTGTTTATCCGTGTCCAACTAAATAATTTGCGCTCTGTCCTTGTGAAACTGAATATGTAATGCTCTCTGAGGTAATTACAGCAGAACATTGCAAATGTCTGACGTAGTCTTCAATGAACACTTGTTCTGGACACCATTTAAGCTGGGAAGGCCCTCAACGGCCAGCTGGTTGTGATTTCTGAGGACAAAGCATCTTTAGAACTTTGACCTCTAAAATCTCTGGACTTTCCCCTCATTCTCTCAAGTCTGAGAGGTTGGCTGGGCGACCGAATAGAAGCAGACGAGAACTCAAAGCCAGATGTAAGAAATATTAGAAACTGTATTACTGAACTTTTAATTATTAGGTATTGGCATATTGATATTGTACCATTATTATTATTGCATTCACAGCAGAACAAAAAGACGAATTTAAAATTGAAAGTATATTTCTTCCATTTGTTTTAAGGCAGATGATTCATAGTTTTTATTTTGGTACTTTAAGAAATCCAGCTAAAAAAAATAATCTGGCTGTAAAATATACTTGCATATAAAACCATGTGATTACTGCAAATTTAAAAAGTCTCCATTGCTTCTCCTAGCTGCTCCTAAATACTGAAATCATTGAAGGAGATTTATTTTTTGTCAAAACAAAAATATCTGTTTGTCAGAGATTCTCGTGATGAGGGAGTCCATGTGTTGATTTCCTGGTCCCCAAACCTTATAATGAAAATAGCTGCCAAAAACAGTATGCATCTAAGGCAAGATAAGTGTGTGGGTGTGTGTGCATGTGCATGCGTGTGTGTAGGGAAAAAGGGATCAGTAGTGAAACCCCACAGGGAACTACTGTTAGTCAGCAGAGGGTTTCCTGTTTGAGGTTTGCTTCGTTCTGACCCTTAACTGGAATCGCCAAAGAGAAAATCTGTAGAGATGCACAAAGACTCATTCATCTTGCTCTCTCTTCACATTTTAAACCTACCAATACACCAACTGACAGTTTTCACTAACTCATCTCATTTATTTGTTTACCTCTACAGAAGGAAACATAAAGAACATTGTCCTTAAGGAGTTAATACAAAAGAGAAGAAAAAAAAAACTGGTAAACTGCTTTTACCTTGACCTTAAGTAAATTGTTTTTAAGCATACTGCACCACCTAGTGGTAAATTATCAAAGTTCAGTGAGGACAAGACAAAGTTGAACGCTTCCATATCAAAGTTTATTGCTGACATGCATGTAGAGATCTGATGAAGTAGAAAAATATGTTTTTTGTTTTTTTTTTATACAAATGCGTTTATCTGTACAGTTAATCAGTTTTCCGTATTTAGATGCCCATATCCAACCAAGCAGCTCACAACACTTTGTGACTCCATGTTTCACATCCCTGCATTGAATTTACAGTTGGATCAGTCAGTAACATCTCAAATATGTACTGACAATTTTAACCAACACGTCTGCACTACTCACCCCGCTGGGGGAAGATGATCTGACAAAATGTTTTCTGGACTCGCCTTGCACATTCTGAGTTTTACTAATTTACCTCGTCGTACAAAGTATTTCCAGATTAAACATTGAGCATCGTACAATCTAAGAATCATTGGGGAGAGTAAAGAACAATTACTAAGGTGTATTTATTTCTCATGGTGATTGCATCAGACATTCCCAATGAACAGCCCCGAAATGTTAGCATTAAGTGGTGGCAATGGAGTTTTCTGATGAACCTAGACTACTACAATACTGCTGAATACCCACAGAATTCACATTGAGATGGGAGAAAGCCAGCGGCTCTCTAAGTTTCATTTTAAACTCTGGATGTGATGTTAGACGGCCAACGTGGCCCAAAGAACGAGTCGATCACCATGTGCTGAAACAGAGCTGGTGAGTCACAGGGTAGAGCTTTTGTACATAAAGTCTGACCGTCACAGTCATCATGGTACATTATTTACATACTGACCAGAGAGTGCAGCCTTGGGTTGGGGTTTAGGGGTTAATGGCAACAAAAGATTTTCACTACAAAAACCCCTCCCGTAAATTAAGATGAGAAAATCCATGTATTATTATTATCATTTCTTTAAAAAATAGAACTATGCAAAAGTCAGTCTTAATATTAGTGTAGCTTAAGGTGACCACAAGAAAACAATTGAGTAATCCTAAGAGGAAAGGAAATGCTACTCTTTCACAAATGTGTCTGAGAAGGAAAAGGATTTGATTTGCTGAAGTGGAACCACTGTTTAAAGCTGAGCGAGCAAACAGCTGTGGGGCCTTGTTTTAAGGAGAGTTCTCGACTGTCTACAATCAATGTCTGTGATACAAGCACCAGTGGTTTGGAGAGGGAGAGTCTACACAAGTGAATAAATAAATCAACATGAAACTACAAGGAAAAATAGAGCAGTAAAAGACATTTAAAGAGACTCTATGTTCATGCAATTTGAATATAAATAGGAAAAAAAAAAAGCATAGAAAGCAATAAAGCAAGTACCAATATGCAAAGGCAAGATGCACAGTACAGATGCCTAACAGTCACTGGTTAGTAGCATTGCCATGGTTTCAAAAATAGTTCTGTAAAAAACAGAATAATGCATCAAGCGAACCCAGAAACTGCACTTATAGACCTGTGAGTTTGTATTTTCATTTAACTACAGAATATTACAGTAATATTTATCTGCCACTGGCTGGGGCTCAGAGGGGCCCACATAGTGAGACAAGAAGAGCATGTACAAGGTGAGTTTGGGAGAGAAGAGTTACACCGCCTTGTAGACGTATTAAAACCCAGAATGTCCTCACATTTCAACAGGCATTTTAATGAAGTTACAATTGGGATCTGTGACACAAAGTCCATAACTAAAAAGGGAAAAGATTTTGAAAATCACACCATGTATTTTAAGCTCCCTGTACTCTGATGGGACTAAATAAAATGTAATGCAGCCAATTGCCTTTAGAAGTCATCTAATTTGAAAAGCAACCTGTGTGCAACTTAATCCCAGTATTAATAGGGTGTACTGCATTCTTTGACGGCTTTAGAAGTTTGCTAGTGAACATTGGGGAACAAATAGCACCATGAAGACCAATGAAAACAGCAGACAAGCCAGAAATAAAGGATATTTAAAGCACAGCATGGCTTTAAACAATATCCCAAGAGTCTAGTACAAAACAACAAAGGGTTGGGTGGCAAGACTGTTGAAAGACAGGGTGACACAACAAAGGAGAGGACTAAAATTTGGGCTTTTTGGGATGCATGTAGCACCAAAATGTGGATCTACTGCATATTAAATCAGGGAGCTGAATCCAAATGTATGCCACAGGTCTAAAGATTTTTTATTTTTTTTGGTAACACTTTATTTGAAGGGGGGTGAATAAGACTGTCATGACATCATCATAAAGATGACATAACACCTGTCATGCACATGAATAAGCCTTCATGAATATTTATGACTGTTGTCATAAAGCGTCATTTGGTAAATTAAGACACTTTTATTACAAAGTTGACATTATTCAAAATGTCTTTGTTATGACAACTTGACATTAACCAAGAAATCATTGCTGTTTAAACTTTATCTTTAATAACATAAAGTTACCTAATTTTTTAAAGTGCAATCAGTAATACTTTTATAACAAATTTATATCAATAATTATTTCTTGGTTAATGTCAAGTTGTCATAACAAAGACATTTTGAATAATGTCAACTTTGTATTAAAAGTGTCATAATTTACCGAATGACGCTTTATGACAACAGTCATAAATATTCATGAAGGCTTATTCATGTTCATGACAGGTGTTATGTCATGTTTATGACGGTGTCATGACAGTCTTATTCACCCCCTTCAAATAAATGTTACCTACCTACCCTCCCCCCCCAAAATGTATCCTTTAACTTCACAACGAAGAACTGCTTTGTGTTGGCTTAGCATATAAAAACCAATGAAATATATTAAAGTGTGTAGATTTTGTGTGAAAAAGGGGTAATAATACGTCTGAAAGGAGATGTATATGATCTTTTTCAATCTTAAAGCATTCACGTCATTCCCCCCTCTCCAAAAAAACAAACAAACAAACAAAAAAAAAAAAACAAACAAACAAACAAAAAAAAAAAAACATTCAGTCAAGCCCTACCTCAGCAGAGCCTGGTCTGTGTTTCACAGTGTCTGCCATAGAGGCAGGCCAGATAACAGGACACAACAATAAGTGGAGGATAGCTTAAAGGGTCAGAGAGTTTCAGCTTCATACACCCTTGTTTGTCTGGCCCCAGCCTACACACACAGCATGCACACTTCCAGATACTGCAGATTCATCAAAGTGAAGAAATGACTGTTCACATTCACACAGAGACAAAAAAAAAAAAAAAAACTTTTCCCATGATTGGTTTTGATAAGAAGACATAGGGAAGCTACCTGGAAGTCAAACAATTCTAAATGAGTCTGAAAGTACCAGTTTCCTTGGCTAAGAAAAAAATTTAAGACAGGGTTTTTGGCAACGGAAACGTGACGGTGCCGGATAGTCATTGTGGCAGCACTGAGGAAGAGTTACCATCATCAATATAACTTGGCCTCATTTAGTTCTTGGCATTGGGACTCCCAGGTACCTCACAATAGCTGCCGAGGTGCTAAAAAGATGTCCACAGGGATGAGAAAGAAGCAGGAGACGATGCAGAGTGTGAATTTCAACGTAAGCTTTGATATACAAATCTTTCTTCAATGAAACTACTGAGATAAAATGCTACTTATTCAGGTAAATAATACAAAGCTTATTCAGATTTTTTAGAAACCGCCTACAACGGTTTTAAAGCAGTTTCACTCCAACTGAAAACATTAATGCTTTATGCCACTGGTGGGTTGAGACTCGGTTGTTACAATCCCTTGCCTCAGAACTGCGAGTATGGTTTAGAAACAGACAGACAGAGACGGAGAGGTAGATTGATTTGAAGAGTTATGGTTTGAACAATGCAGGAAAAAAAATCAAAGAGAGAGAGAGGGAGAGAAGGAGAGAAAGGGAAGGTGGAATGGAGGTATACATGAATGACATCTGTGATCAAGTGACTGGACTTGAGGAAATTCCAAACCATGGTGAAAAGAGGGGGGGTTGCTACATGATTCTGGACCTGTATTGCTCAGGGAAGCCAGAATGGATGGGGAAGTTGTAGAGGTGCAAGGAAGAGGAATCAGGGGTTAATAGTTTCTTCAACACTGCAGGCAGAACCTCATCAGCACCGCGACACACCATGCCGACGAGTTTGATGCACAGTGACTAACAAGTGAGCAAAGAACCTTTGAGTCGGGAGTTCCGTGTCCAGGCCAGAGATGATCCAGACTGGGAAAGTGAAGCTCTGAGATGTGAATCTGCTCTGGTACCCGACTATGCGCCTGCTCCACTTAGCTTACTAAAACCCCAGTATGCATCTGTCTGCTTGCCGGCTCAGGAAGGTCTTCCTGTGTGCCAGTTCAGTTTTGGGAATTTTTCTCCCAAGTTCTCTCTGGTCTCCATGGGTGTATTTAGTTCCCAGGGAGGCGCAAGAGGTTGATGTGGCTGGTTGAGGGTTATTTCCGGAGGAATCGTTGAGCAAGGGCAGTAGCGTCGAATGGACTGACCGGTTGGGCATCGTGACCCAAACGTCTGACAGGTGGGATGTTGCCAAACTGCCGCTTGGTGAGAAAGCTCTTGGCTTCATGAATAGTGTTCTTCTCTTCAGCCAGCAGCAGCTGCTGGCGCATGTAGTTCTCAAATTCGTACTGCGAAGACTCTTCAATTGCCTTGGCCTGTGTTGAAAAAAATCAAATTCTGCTCAATGTGCTGCAGTTACTGCACTAATACACATGGAAAATATGTCTAAACCTGTACCATTTGTTCATTTTAGTTATAGATAAAAAAAGCTCTCACTGAGCAAGATGTAGAACTCTGACATTTTCTTCAATGTTTTTACATTTTGTCACTAGAAAACCAAAACCTTGCAGCTTAAGCCAACATTGCTTGGACAGATTTTATTTATGTGTATACGAGAAAAGCAGGGTGAATAAAAAGCTCAGTCTCATTTTCAGGGTTTCATTCATTAAAAAATTGGAAATCATGCTTGGCTTCCCTTCTTCACAATAAAGGATTACATTTTGTTGAGAAAACCTGTTCTCTTTTTTTAATATCTTACCTCCTGTAAATGTTCTTGGTTATTGACCTGATCGTCAATATCTGGAACTACCTGTAGAGGGCCACTCATCGATGAAACCGACTGCCTGTGATTGAAAAAACACCACAATATGATTAACTGATTAACAGAAACGAGAGTTTAATATGAAGTATGTGAACTGCTATGATAACTGGCCATGATATGCAACACATCCTGAGTAAGTTCAGTTTTTTCAGACAGCCAGCAGGTGGTGCAGTTACCATGAAGCAATAATGGCACTGAGTGACTCTAGCACTTCTCCTGCAGCCAGCCTCTGCTGAGGGTCCAGCACGAGCAGCTTTCGAATGAGGCACACCGTGTTCTCAGACACACGACCGTCTCTGAGGTGGGGAGAGAGCGTAGAAGGTGGTTATTGTAACCAATTAAAAAAAAAATAAAATAAAATTGTCACAGATTTAGCAGAAACATTTGGAAAATCCTTCAGTGCTACACAGGATGCAAATAGAAATCTTTAGTAAATCAAGAACTTAGGAAAAGAAGCCCACAAAAATAAACAAGTCTTAATGGGAGACGTTTTGACATCAGTTTAACTGAATTTGTCATTGACTTGACTTGCTTAAAGTTGTGAATGAATGGATGCAGCTCTGTTTCAAATTAACACTCACTCTGGAATAGAGTACTCTGCAGCCTTGATTTTGCGGAAGAGTTCTTGAGGTATGCTGTCATAAAAAGGGAACTGGCCATACAGCATGGTGAACAAGACAACGCCGAGGGCCCACATGTCGCTGGGTTTACCGCGGTATGGGCGACCTGGGGACAAAAAGGAGAGGGGCATCTCAGTTTTTGTCAAAACGCACGCAGAGACGTACAGATAAAATTATCCAGACACACACAACACAGAGGGCGACATTATTTTACTGTAATGACTGATTGCTTCCCGTTTTAACACAGGCGTGACCAAACATTCAGCGAGTTCAGTCCCTGTCAAGTCACGGGGTTTTAATGATTAACAAAACTGGCAAACACGACGTGCATGACTCAGCATTTATGATGCTTCCTTGAAATCCGCAACTTTTTAAATGTGGAGAGCTGCTTGTTAAAGCAAACAGAGGCAATCAAGCAGCTGTGTATGTGGAGCTGATGAGGCTGTAGCATCATAGGCTGCGCTTTACCATAGGCGGTGTTGTTCCAGCCAGAGAGGCGGCAGCAACAGCAGTCGGCAATTATATTCAAGCTTGTGTCACACATACACAGGCGGGGGATGGGAGTCGATGGGAGTAGTTTCCCTCTGGTGAGTCATCAGCGGATGAGTCACTGAAGCTCTGTTTAATTGTGTGCCTGTCACGTTATGCTGATATGTACGCAGAGCTTTTATCTGCTGTTTGAACTGCTGGACAGGCTGCAAGATTGATATGATTCTAAAGTCAAGACAACATCCAGGATGTTGATCAGGAAATGAATATTCAAACGGATGCAACTATGGTTTTCTACAGGAGAGCGTGGCCGAGCACTGATGTTGCCGATTAGGAGTACAGAAGCTTTTCCTCATGTTTTTCTATGTATGCAGATAGCTTTATGTGGGGAAAAATGGGACATTGTCATGAATACCAAAACAAAAAAACAAGACAAAAACTAATTCTGGGTATTGCAGTTCATAGATTGCAACACAACTTCCGTGAAACTACTTAAACGGAAAATCATCCAGGGTTTCAATATTACGCAATTCTGCAACAAAAATCCCAAGATTGTTTCTGGAATCTAATAAGTTTAACTACAATATTTGATTGACAAGGATCCAGTACATTTTAAAGGCTTTTTTTTAGTGAAGAAATACATTCCACTGTAGTTTGATTCAACAGTGTAACAGATTTGTACACCATGTAGGTGTTTATGCTTTCAATTTCAAACTTTGATACACAACTTTCTGTTTTCATGATTTCACAGATGGAGCAAAAAGCATCTGCCCAGTTGAGATTTGTTTTCAGTTTTCTCTCCACAAATCATAAAACTGTTAATCAGCACTGTGGCAAAAAGCGTTTCACTATTTTTTCCACTATAAAACTGCAGAATACCAAGAACAATCTGAACTGCATTAGACATAGGTTATCAGAATATGTCAAACCCAATGTGTACACTGGCAGCATTTATTTCCTTACTGGAAATCTAAACAGCAACTTCTTCAAGCATTGGACTTAATTTTCCACTTACCACTTAATACATCAGGACTAATGTAGGCTGGGCTGCCTCTCTGGTCTTTCAGCAGGTCATCCTCACTCACCAGATGCTTTCCCAGGCAGAAGTTAGTGATGGTAATGCGGTGTGTCCTGATAAACAGAAAGAAAAATTTTAATATCCACTTTTAAATTTATAGCCAAGTCAACATAAGACGGTGAATGTATTAGGGAGCACGACGGCCTTTCATGGTACACAAAAAGCCATCAAATATCTATGATGCTGTAGTTTCAAAACTGCCAGAACACTAAACCTTAAGAACCGTATGATGGAAAAATACTTTTAATGGGGTGCCAGAGTGATCGAAGTTTCTCTGGCTGCATGGACCACATCTAAAAACTACTGCACTTTACTAATCTAGATACAGCGAAGACACATCTATGTGAAGTTTAAACTGAGTATCAGAAGAAGGAGGGAAAAAAAGCCTTTAATTCATAGAGAAACACCAAAAGTGGACAATAACAGCCGGAAAAAATTTTTCCTGGTCACATAAGTCTCATTTTAGCTGCCGCATTTAGCCGGAGGGATCAGAATTTGGTGCAAAGAAGATGAAAGCATGGATCATTTTAGGACTATTTGTACCAATTAAGAGTCTTTTAAACACCATGCTCAACCCAAGTATTAATGCCAACTAAATCCATCTTTATAACCACAGTACAGCTATCAAATCATCTAACTGGTTTCTTGTGAATAACAGAATTAAACTTCAATGACCTCCACAATCACCATCAAATCTGCAGAAACTGAGCAATAACATGTCAGCATGAACAAAAATCTATTCAGAGAAGATGTTGCAGTTCTAAAGGCAAATTCAGATCTGCCTTTCTGGCAATACTAGCAATGTGTACCTAATAAAGTGACCAGTGAGTGATGTTTCACCGTACATGCTAGTTGAAATTAAAAGAAAAACCGAAACTATCTGAGCTTATATTGCTGACTTTTAAAGTTAGCTTCAGTTCTCTCTGAAAAAAGACATGTTTGGGTAGTTTTAGTCTGTTTCTCACTGGGTTAGTCACACACAAAGTACTTTCTAACCTTATAATTAACCCATTTCAATTGTTTTGATGCAAAGTTTTACAGAAGTGCACAGTAAGGCATCTTGAATGAACTTTAAATTTGCAAAGAATGTGAACTTCTCATATTTTGATATAAAAGGCTTTGTTATTGTGCTTTGTCGAATTACTGGTTGAATTCATAAAGGATCAAGGCAATGTAGTGCCTTAAAACTGATAAGACTTTTAATAATTTGGTGTCTGCTGAAATGTGTCACTAGGAATTGGATCAAAGTAAATTTACTTTGCTCAAGATCGAGTGAAACCTGACTATCTTGAAACTGAGGCCTTTTCTGTAGAGGGAAAAAAGGTTGCACTTTGACAAACATATGAGTCAACCTGTGGCTTATGATAATTGCTGCAATGACTAAGCCTGCACAGTGATGTGTTGGAAACTGATTTTATATAAGCTGCAGAAGATTTGAAATGTATACACAACCATGCAACATGATATGCATCCATAATCACTCCCATGCGGAAGTAGAACACGCTGCAATGGTCTGAAAAGACACACAAACCAAAAAGAAAAAAAAAAGAAAAGAAGAGCTGTCACCCTCTACAGCCTGGGTATTCTCCACATCACGCTTTTCACCCACATCCGCTTTCTAAAAAGCCTGAGGTCAACAGCTTCCCCTATTCTCTCTCACTTTCACACCCTGGTCCGTCGCACACATTCCCCGCTCCCGTAAAGGCACCTCGATCCCAATCTCGATGAATACTGACTGACAACATAAACCTCACTGTGGAAAACTGACACTACGTGACATAAAGCTTCTTATGAGATTCACCCCTTCTGAATATTTTTACAATAAATGCTTCCAACCATAGATGGCCTTATGAGTTAACTGAGGAATGTGCGAAGCTTCAAGGACTCTCCTTTATGAACGAGTCTCTTCAATTGTGCTTTTGTCTGCGAGCATCACGACCCAGGCTTCTATTCTTGCACCGGAGATTGGATAAATGAGATTGCATGTTCGCCTTGTGAGGCAAGGGTCCCTGAGGACAGTGGATAGACCACGCCGTCTCCGCTTCCTGGTCACATGACTCCGGTCAGGAAACCAGAGAGCTAAACAGCCCAGATGACTTCTCCTTTCCGGCCCGTAATAAAAATACATGTGACGAGAAGCGAGGTTAATCACAGGGCAGCTTCTACAGCAAGAATCAGTTGTCAGAACTGGCCATCGCTTGAAGGGTTTCAATCACATTCAGGCTTTAGTTGAGCAACAGCCAAAAGAAAAGGTGCCATCATAGACATAGTCAAAAATCAGCATAACTTTGTGAAACATACATTCTTGAAATTCAATTGGGTCTTAAAACCTATGTATCAGAATATTATACAACATATCCAAAAGAATTACGTTCTACATATAGGAAGTCATTAAAATTTAAAAATACCCAATCAGTGGCTGTGCAGATTGATTTATCACATCCTGCTTTCACAACAGCTGGCTCTGGGAGAGGAAGTCGCATCATTTCTTGCACAAAGTGCTGATGTTTTCTGATGCCTTTGGTGCATTTCCCAGAACTCTGACAAACAGGGGAGGTGAGTGGCATTTGATTGAGTAAGCCTCTAAATGGTCAGTTTTCCCACCCACACACACACACACACACACACACACACACACACACACACACACACACACACACACACACACACACACACACACACACACACACGTTAGCCAGGAGAGTGCAGTACATGGTGAGAAAAAACAAAAAAAGTGGAAGACCAAGAAAATGGGTGGCTGTGTTAAAAAGAAAAAGCAAAACACAGCAGAAAGAAATTATGACAATTTGTGTGCACATGTAGGTAAGTGAGTTTGTGTGTGAGTGACTTGCACTGCAGTGAGTCAGCTCTGAGCTATTGAGCCTTTGGCATGTCTCTCCTTTGTCTCCAGCTGGGACGGAGTGTTCCACACATCTACCCTGCTCCCCTCCACCCGCATCCCCTGGCCAAAACACTATTTCATCACTATTGCCGCTACTTCTTACTACCGCTGCAGGTAGGAAGAACCAGGACAAAGAGGATAAAAAAGACCTTGTTGCTTTCCAGTGCACATAGCAAGCTTTAATGAATTTATAAAAAAAAAGACAGAAAAACAACTTTCTTTTGGATTATCATGATTGTCAATTCTTGCTGGAGATGTAAGGTTAATAAATATTTGTAAAAGAAGGTGACTTTATAGTGCATGCACACAGGTTACTTACTGACATTCTTATCTCTAACAATAACAACCAGCTTAATTCACCACATGTGCACGCAAACAAGGAATTTGACTTCAGTTACGGTTTGCACTCAAATACATACAATATGTAAAAAGAAAAAATAAAAAGTTAACATTTTTCATTCTGGCTTAGAGCAAGGGAGAACAACATTTCAGTAGAAAGGATGAATATAACACTGCAAAGATGCTGGAATCTTGGATTATTTATATTAAAACTGATGTTTTTAATAATACAAGCCAAATTAAACACTGATGTAGAAGATGATAAAATAGTTAGCAGTAAGGCTGCAAAAATATTTCTTGCTGATCTTTTATATCATCGTTCCAAAAAATATTAAACCAGCTAAAATCTGCATAGGCAGGTCACAGGTTTGGAAAACTGGAGATTGGTAATTGGCTGCAAAATTCTGATTGCTGCATCACTTTATTTTTTTTTTGCACGAAGAATCTAAAGCTGTAAGGAAAGCCCAATACAAACCAGCGCCGTAGCTCTCTAAGAGCAACTGACAGACCAACACAGTAGAACTGCTCACAGTGGCATAGGCTTTTTGTGTAGGTTGAAAATACATTCTACAAAGAGGTATAAATCAAGCTAAAGTGAGCGTAGGAACAAAGTGAGTGTGCGTCAGCTTTAGTCATTCAGTCATACAAAAGCAACACCCTCAACAGTTCAAATGAAGTCTGTAAGATCATCCACTTGTTTTGAAAGTTAAATCAATGTACATTTAATGCAAATTCTAATTTTAATACTTTTCTAAGCATTCATTAAGTAAATGGCAGCCAAATTTAGAAACATTCTCACAGTGAGGAAGAGTGGTTCTCACCATTTGTACAAGCCTTTCATATCCCTTGCGCATGAGTTGGTTAGAGGGAGTTTACAGATGAGTAGTTTTCCATCCTGCACGTCTAATCTGAGCTGCAGCACTTTGACCTGAGGTGCACTCAACAGGGTCTTCTGTGCATTACTAAATTACTCATACACCCCCAGACCCAAACACTTTCCCACTGAGATCAAAGCAGAGGCATGTTCATTGTTTTGTTTGGCACCAGAGTCCATTTTCAAAACTCTGACCATGGGGAATGAATCATCTATCGTTACTCAACACCCAGACACATTTGAGCACTAGAAAGCAAGACTTCAGGTTCCTGAGTGTAATTTCACTTATAGTCAAATAATGTGGCCTCTGTGTGGGTTTAAAGCTTAATACACACACTGGATCAAAATCTTGGGGTCAATCAGCCACCAGGGACAAAACTAACAAGCTAAAACAGCAAAACTGGCACAATAGGCAGCGTTATTCAGCATGACTTGACCGACAATGCGGGATGAGTGACCTAGCGTCGACTTACCGTTTGTTCAGCACCATATTTCCCAGCTTGAGGTCTCTATGCACAATGTTTTTCTGCAGGCAGAAAAAAAAGAAGTATGGTCACATTGTGCTCAATGAATCATTGACAAAACAAGAATTAGTTTCTGGGAGTGGCACACGAGCCTTGGAAGTGAGTAATCAAAAAAAAAATCTGCATCTAACAAACAACAACAAAGAACACCGTAGCATGAAGATTTTCTACATTGATGAAAAATTGAAGAAAGTGAGCCAATTTTGTTGCACATGTACTCTTTAGTAGTGTAGTAAGACCAACCTTATGGAGGGCCTCCACCACACGCACAACATCGTAGAAAATGACAATAGCTTCACGCTCGCTCAGTCTCTTCTCCTTTATGACATAATGCTGGAGGTTTATTAGATCTGCCGTCTTGTCACTGAAATCGTGAGCGCAGAGGCAGTCCAGGACGAGGCAGATCCGCTTCTTCATCTTACGAACTTTGTTGGCTTCCATGTCCTCTACTATTTCATAGGCGCGATCCTGAATCCAGAAAGAAGTGTGGGAAGTTAGCATTGGGAGGGTGTTCACTTTATTTAATTTGACAGAGCAGAATTTGAAATCTATTTGTGGAATACAATCAATGCAACCAGTGAGATTTCTCAAAGCAAGTATCTACAGTTAGATAGAAAAGTCTTTGATCTTGGCTGGTGACCAGAATCTGACTATTCTTGGCTAATACAGAAAAAAATGTTCTGGTTTCTCCTAATAAACATTCAACCTGTTTGTCAAGGGATATTAAGGAAATGTCAAAGGGAAGTTAGGAGTCTAAATTCTCAAGGAAATAGACATAGAGAATGGTCTTAGTAATGTAAGCCTCAGTACATGAGATACCTCTTGTATCAAGAGGTTTACAGGTCAACTCCATGTTTATTTTTCCCCATTTGTCTAAAGTACTAGTAAAACTTGCTGTACAGGGTCTCCTCTCTCACGCAGCACCTCTGGTCCTTATTTAAATCATTAATAATTGTCCTGGACAGGAAGGCTAGAAAAGTACATTTTCAATCCTGCTAATATTGTTCAAGAAAAATCTGAATCACAAAATCTGCATGTCCAGCATCTGATAAGAATAAGATATCTCCACAGTCAGTGTGAGAGAATACGACATAAAAAAAGATGAGAAAGATCATTCCTATTCTTAAAACTCAAGCTAATGTAGACTCACCATTTGTTTCCCATTGATTTTTGTATCGGTTTAAGAGTTGGTTTTTTTTTTTTGTTTTTTTTAATGCAGCCAGCATCTCTGAAAGAATGAGCAATGAGCTGGTTCACAGACAGCAGAGATGAACTATAATAATCTAATCAATATGGCAGACCTAAATTAATCAGCGTGCACGCCTTAATGCTGCTATTATAAGGACACTGTAAGTGAAACGGAATGTGAATGAAAGACAAACGGAGAAGATTGAATCAGAGCTGACGGAACAACAAAGTTAAAGGAGAAGGCAGATGGGGCAGCAGGTGAGGAAGGGGGAAGGGTTGCTGTGAACAGAGAGCAGCCGATAAATATAGCTTTTATTGTATTTCTACTTCTCTACTGAAACAACCTTTATAAGGAAAGTACAGGCAGCTGGCTTGAGCTATGACAAACTTGTTTCTGCTAAAGTTGAACTAATACAATCAAACTGTTACTTGCTCTGGTGTTGTTAAATATATTCATAAACAAAAATGACTGAAAAGAGTCAGAGAGATAATGCTGTATTTAGAGTATTTAATCACATATTATTCTAAAGAAAACAATAACACTCTTTGTTTGTTCAACTAAAACCTGCTACGATACGTAGGTTAAGTGAAAAAGTCTACCTGAAAAAGGCCATGATGGTGAACCACACCATCCTGGTTGTGCAGCAGAGAAAGGAGAGAGTATTCTGTATGCAGCAGCATCTTCCCCTGCCGCTCCTCCTGGGTTTCCCCCGCAGAGTCCACTCGCTCCTCCAGCGTCAGGATCTGCAGAACAGAGCAAAAATTAAGCACCAGAAAATCTAAATGGATTCAAACAAGAAATCATAGTCCGGGGATTGTAGTGATTAAACACTGACATTTCCGAAGCAATGTTTGCTTTAGAAGCCCTGTGATTGCTTAAAACCTGCTGGATAATCCCAGTAAACACTGAACCTGGCTCATGTTTGCTTGTTTTTGCCAAAATTGAACAAAGGGCAATAAAATCTGCACTGTGAAAAAGTCTGAAGTTCAGATGCTTAAAATTTGCCATGATAATGAGGGTTTTGAAATAACTGCAATTATAGGAGAACATGAAAATACCTGAATATAACAGACTTACTTTAAGTTGATAGAAGTCATCTGTGCCATCTTTCCTGGCCAAACACTGGACTATACTCGGTACTGGCGAGTTGCCCAGGCGAGGTCCTGCAAGGACGAGAAAAGGAACAGCTGCATGACCAAAAGGCATTCTACACCGCTGGTCTGTTTGCTCTTCCCAAAACTCATTAAGGGCAGCATGTGCAGGTATCCATTAACACCCCAAGTGCAATGTTTTCTTTGGCAAAGTATCTGGTAAACAATGCAGGAGCTCTAATGCAGAATGCACACACGCTTCAGAGAATAGGAAAGGAATATATGATACTGGAGGAAAGAAAGAAGAAAATGCCCCAGCATAGACTTCAGCCTTTCTGGCCGATGTCATGAGGATCAGCAAAATTCTTCAAATTCCTGTCTCAGGCGTGTGTAAGTCCACAGTGTACTCACACAGGCACCCTGCAACTTATGTACAGAGATGGTTTGGCTGAATTATCTGCAGGTTATGCAAGGCAGCTATACACACTGTATTTATTTATCAATTCCCCTTTAAACAGTAGTAGCTTCCGTACCGAGGATGAAGGGGCCGGCTCTCTTGGCGTTACTGCCAGATATCCCAGGACACTGCAGCTTGCTGGCCCTGCCTGATGTCTCTCCAGCCCCCCTCTCTGACGAGCGCCGTTTGGACATACTGGAGCTCTGCAGGGAACAAATCTGATTAGTTCATGGGATAAAGATAGCCAAGTAAAAGGGAAAGTACACACTTGTGACAAGAACAACAACAACTCTAAATGACTGAGAAAAAAAATTACAAATAAGCTTTAATAAACGGCATTCATAGATCTAAACATAAGGATACTTCAAGCTTCAGGGGAACCAGTTAAATGAGAGGACACTGGTTTGTGAACCGAGGTTAAAAGGGCTAAAGTTCATGGCAGCTCCACCCAGTCCATTTCAAATCTCCCTCCCCTCACATTTACACACCTCAGTGTGAATGTAAGGCCATTACAGCTCCATTTAGAATAATGGCTGCTGGCGTGAAGGCCAGCACCTCAGATCCAATCTCTACATTAGGCAGTGTGCTTGTCACAATCTGCAATTTAAAATAGAAGGCCCTTGAATGCAAATGCATGACTCTAGCAAGACAGGAACATTTTCATTTGCCTCTCTAATCCTGAGCTTTTTTCTTGCAGCAGTTTAGAAAAATCCCCATGCTTTTTAATCTCGTGCTTTATTGCAGAATCTGTGCAAAGAGCTTATCTGTCCTTTAAACATGAATGCATGTTTTAACATGACCAAAAATTTAAAATGCAAAGCCATTGCACAATAATAAGGAAGCAAGATTTAGATGCCAGCAGAGACAGTGACAGTGTGACACATTGTCATTATACAAACTACTCTAACCGACACAGCGGTTCTCATCCACCTCCCAGAAATCAGAGAGCGAGAGGTATGCTGTGTTTACTGATACCGAGGGCCAATGTGATGAAATGCCATCTGTTTCCCGTAAAGGGGAAGTAGAGCCTTAACCGAGAGGAATGATTCATCCTGCTGTCGTCCCAAGTTTTCATTGAACAGAAACGTGTCAATGTTCGGATAATAATCTTCCCAAAATGTCAAACAGTTTCCCCGTGCATTCCCAGAAGGCACAGGAAGCTACAGGAGAGGAAACGTAGCATGTATAGTCATACTAAGATGACTTACCGGTGCGGAAACAGAATTTGAAAGATCTTACCGGAAAAATATTTGTTCAAACCAACACACATCACAAATGATGCATTAAACAGGGTGAGAGAGATAAAACATGTCACACAAAATTTTGAAACTGTGTTGTATAACTGTGCAATCCCAGAGTTTCTTTTCTGATAAATTAAGAAACCTTCCTGTTGCAAAACCAACTGTGCACCGTTTTCTAGTTGGGAATCTGGGGCACGGAGGAGGTAGGACAGTTGGCTGTTCAGTGAGGGCTAGTACAAATTCTCACTTCCATGAGGCTTTTTGTGATCCCAGACAGCAGACAGTGTCATCATCATGTCTCTCTCCCATCTGTCTCCGTTTCTGCTAGTCATCACCCACGGAGTCTGATGAGCTGAGGTTTTCTGACAGTGTTTATGGCGCAAGTCAGAGTGACACCAAGTCACGCTGGGAATAGTGGGATAGCATATTACTCTAGAGGACACAAAGAAGCAGTTCAACAGGTAGGACACTTCATGCTGTTGCTTTAATGTTTAATGAAGCAGATGATGCGAATGACCAGGTGACTATAGACGTGGTGGACTTGAAATTAAACAGAGATGAATACTGGAATCAGAACATTTTCCCCAATTCTGCAATTTAAATAATGTTTTCCCATGTTCATTAAATGCATGATAAGCAATTAACATCTTTCTCTCTGAAACAACATTTTTACTCATTAAAATCAGATAAAAAGAGGTGTATACTTTAATGCATAAAAGGGGATAATACAGTAATTCAAATATTTTCACTTGTGTTAAAGTCCTTAAAAATGACCACTGGAACCAATCAGAAGGAATTAAACATGTAAATAAAAATGCCCCAATCAATGTGGAAATGATCAAAACTGGCTGGTTTTCTCCCCAAATCCTGAAAAATGTTTTCCCCCCCTCCTCCATAATGCACACAAACTAAAAAGACTCCCACACTACAAAAACATAGACCAGGAGTGTGTACTTTAGTGCAATTTATTTAATGCCCAATAGAAATAAAGGGTGGGGACAAATGTTTTAAGGCATTATTTTGAATAATTCAATCCCTTGATCACAGAACCTGCAGAACATTTAGTCATTTATGAGTTAAAACCTTTCGGTCAGACATCAAAGGGAAGCACAAATCTGTATTGGTCAGAAAAGACCCGCTCCTATGTTAAATGCAAGGTGGGCAGTTTCAGTTTACCCACATGATTAATAATATTTAGAGATGCAACAGTGAGTCAGCCAGATGAACTGATCTGTGACCTGCAGATTATGGACTTGGATTTTACATTTTTGCTAACTTTAATAAAACTAAAGTAAAGGTTAAAGCAATGTGCTTTAAAGCATAAATAGGGATCATCTTCAGAGCTGCACATTTCTTCTCTGATGTGTCATAGTTCTTGTACATGCATGCCAATCATTATCCTGGATTTAAAACAACCAACTCAATGACATAAATGCATAACACACATAAGACAGGCTCATCGTCTGCCAGGTAAAGAACCTGCTGCAGAGTTATGAAGCCAAACCTAGACACATATGAAAAAAGCAAAAGGTCGATGCAACCAACTCCTGCATGCTGACCTAAATGACATCAGCTTGATGACAGCATACGCAGCTATCCTTTTCTAACACTGCTGCAACTCTCTGCACACAGCCAGTGGTCTGGCAAACAGGACTGGCTGTGACTGTACCAGAGGGAGGACAAGAACAGATCCAGCCTCTGAATCATATCACACGAGAAGAGGAGAGGAGAGACACGCTGCCAGTGCCCACAAGAAATGTGGGCTTCCTTAAATAGTATCAGAACAAAACAACCACGTAGGTGTCTCACGACTCACCTACTCAGACTCAATGCCATGTGTCTGGGCACTGCAAGAAAAAGCTGCACATTCATATCTCATTTGCACACATGAGAAAGAAACACATTTCAAGTCAATAAATCCCAAAAAGTCCCGCTTTTGGATCCACAAAGAATGCCAGCTCACACACTTTTCCTCAGCTGTAGACCCCATTCATCATTCCAATAACAATGGCCTTGACCACACCGCCACGCAAAGGTCACGCCATAAAACCACTTAACAAAATTATTGCAACAGCACAAAGACTGCCATGCATTGCTTGGTGCCATTTTGGGTCCACAAGGTCTGGACACACTGTTCTGGCAGCGTGCTGTGTAAACCGAACGAGTCGTTGAGTAAAGCGCTGACGTTACGCCTTGCAAGTTGGACACAAGCAGCTCACAACTTGAACAGCAAAGTGCCAGCGACAGATATCACGTAGAGTTTATATCATAAACACAGGCCGTGTTTTATTTCTGTAAAATATGAGCTAAACTATAATTAGTGCATAAACGAACTCAGGTGAAGCCAACTCCGTTTCTCGGCCAAATACGTTACAACAGCCCGGGACTCACGAGCCACACAAAGGGACATACAACACAACAAGGAGCGGGGTGCAAACCTCACACAGCCGTTGTTAGCATAAGAACGTTTGACTAAAATGCACCCTGGAGGTTTAAATATGGCTGTTGGCGTGCTACGTTCCAGCCAGGGCAAAGCTGAACTCTGTCGCGGTGCTGGGAGGCCATTTAAACAAAGTACGTTCAACGTTACAGCTGGCTCACGGTGAGAGACGAAGCTAGATAGCAACGGAGTCACAGCCTCGCTTACCTCAAAGCCAAAACCGCCGGCTAAGATCTGCGTTGTCCTCTTAAAATATCAACATTTCTCAGGCGAACTCTGTGGTGGGTGTACGGAGCTTCTCTCTCAACCGGGAGAAGCTTCGGGGGTTTTAGTTTCGCGTTGTTTAGCCTCTATTACTGAAATGAGCAATTAAGGAAAAGCCTCCGCTTCTCGCTGATCGCATCTTTCCACAGCGACAGCACCACCTGACAACGGAAATGACGCACAAGAACGTTTGATTGACAGCTCCGTCTAACCAATGACACTCGTTGTTTCTCTGTGAATGGCCGTGCCCTGATGATGAAATTCTCAACATAATAAAAAAAAAGTTGCTAAATGAAACCATGACATCATGGGACTTCTTATTAGAGCTATTTGCCAAAATTAATCAATTTTAATTCAGACATCATTTGTCTTTTATAACACGCCATGGTCAACTTTTCAGTTTGAATTTTGATATTTTGTTGCATTGTTTGAATTGAATTCTTGCTGTTTTGGCTTTTTGCTGATGTTTTTAGACAAATGTTTATTTTAAAGAAGTTTACTTGCATTCTGTACATACACTAAATGTTTGAGCTATTAGCTATCTATGTTTGAGCAGTTATTCCAAGACAATTTAACAATAGCAAAACACGTTTAGGAGGAGAGCGTCTAAAATTTCACTATGTAAATCTTCTGAGGTCTTTTAAGCCACTTTTTTTTTTAATTATCTTGTCTGCTCAATACTTGAGGACTGATTTCTTAAGTGGAAGATGACTTGCCTTGGGCATTTCACATGTCATCCAAAACAGTTCTCAAGATTGATGTTCACCTTTATGTCTACATGCCTTTCAAAGATATATGTTGTTTGGACACATTCTAATCCAAATAAAGGTGGATCAAGATGATTTTTAATTCACAACAAGTTTTCCTGTAAAACTGATGAACAGGTACATCCTAGTAGGAATCTTAGACAAAGTCTGGCTCAAATACTGTTCAATTTCCTGTAATATGAATGCAACTTTAATGCTGCAAGAACTTTGTGAAAATATGTCAGGATTTGCTTTTTAACATGTTCGGTAATGCCAGAATCAGGGGATTTTTCTTTACCTCAAGTCACTTTTTAAGTCTTTTTAAGCTTGCAAATGCATATTTCGAACAATTAAATTCAACAATTATCTTGTATCTTTTACATACAAGTACAGTAGCATGTTTATAGATAACATATTTGAGTGTATTATCAAATATTGTTTTTTTTTAAATTAGATAACTGAAATAAAATAAAAACAAATGCACTCTCTTAATCCTCACTCAAAAGGAGTAAACATTTCACAATATAAACAAACATTTGAAGGACGTTTTTCTGTGCTTCAAAAGCACATGCTTTTTGATTGTTATCATTATTATTATTATACCCCTTTCTTCCACAAAAGTAAAACCCTGAAGATATCACATAAACTGCAAGAAATGTTTGACCTTGTTAATTCTGAACATATGTCTCCAGTTAGGTGAGTCTTCAAGTAGTTGGGGGTTATTTACCATAACAGGATTTCTGGTATTGGTGGAACTTGGACAAAAATACTTCATTACCTTTGGATCATTTACTCTAAGTTTACAATGTGAAATGTCTACTGTTGTAATGAGTTGGCCAAACACTTCTGCTTTAATCTAATCAAAAGCCAGAACATATATTCAAAAAAGAAAGCATTTTCTCTAGTGTGCTTTTGGAATAATGGCCTCCAAGTTGCTGAATGGCCTCTCTTACAAGCATCTTTCCGAGGTCTTTTGAGTTTGTTTTGGGGTCAGTATTCACATGTTCATCATAGCATAAAGAAATTGTTTCCATTCTCAGTGAAATGATTGGCTGCATTGTCCTATGATCTTTGTATGTACGCATAATAATTTTATTATTATTATTATTTAGGTGAATAACACAATCTAAATTATGCATGTCTAAGCATGGTTTATGCATGTCTAAACAACAAGTTTAGATTTCATATACTACATACCATACTGAGAATATTATTGAATTTTAATGAGGTGTCAACAGCAAAATTATTAATGTAGGATAACTATATGAATCAGTGAAACTATATTGTTGTGTTTACTCACTTCTTGATCAGCTATATATACAAAATATCTTTACAATACAGAAAATATCAGCTCAGTGCAGTCTTTCAACACAATATTCACAACTGAGTGCTCTACAAAGTTCCTTTACTCTGCAAGCCTCCGTTTGAGTGGCTGACATTTTGCAGAGCCCACCTATCCTCTTAAATTAGACTTACTGATTAATCTGATATTCCTCCCACTGGTAGCAGTTTCCAACCAGTGGGCAGATGCGACAGACAAGGAGAGAGCAAGTTAAATGGCAGCGCCACATTTGAGTTGCACCAGTCTTTCTGTCTTGACTCAGCAGAGCGATCTACCCCCAGCCACATGAAACACGTCAGGCTGCGGCTTTACAGTGTCCTGCCCACAGCCTTTAAAGAGGAAACTGAATCAGAACTAAAATGCACAGACTAAGAGAGAAACCTCTACCATGTTGAAAAAATAAATAAAATGACTGAGTGCACATACATTAAAAATGTATACTAGATTGTATGGGAAGCAGTTTAACTGTCTTAGCTTTTCAGAATGACTGACTTACGAAAGCTGTGGTCTCTGTTTGTTTTGTAGGTAGGCCGTATCCTCAGGGTCCTGAGGTTTTTTGTTTCTTACGTTGGGATCTCAATGGGAAAACCTCAACAGAAACCTCCTCCCCCCGGATCAATTCAGAGAAATGCCTCGGCATGTTTGCCGCCCTGGAATGCACTGTGTTCATGTGTGAGGGTGGCTGACTGGGGGAGTGCAGACAGTCTCACTTTGACTCGTCTGCAGGCGGACCAAACACACACACACACACACACACACACACACACACACACACGCACACACACACAAAATCATCTCTGTTAGTTAGTGCTGTTACTATGGCAATTCTCAGGAAATGTTTGCTTTAAAGGTAGTGCATCACTGAGGATTAAAGTAAGGGACGTTGGCTTTAATGATCTGGTTTGACGTATTAACCACCAAAGAAGTCAGCAGAAATATAATAAATCAGTTTTCTTTATTGCACTGAATGTCACGCCATGGTGTGGAAAAATTACTATTTCACAACTAAATGAGGAAAAGTAATTTATAAAGTAAATTAAATTAAATAATGAGTAGCCCAGTAAAAAGAAGATCTAAAGAAGGGCTAAACAAGATCAGTCATAACGTGTTACCTCGACCCAAAAAATTGTTGGTAGTGGTACACTGTAAAAGTCTGTGGCAGTGAAGAAAAAATGTGCTTGCTTAATCTTTAAAAATTCCGACAGCTCCCTCTAGTGTTAGATTTAATTTTCAACATGCTCCTATGACAGAAAGTCATTGAAAGGCAATTTTATATGCCTTTCAATAAATAATACGATCAAAAAGTGAATAGATTTCAGAAGAAATGTTCACAAAAATAAACTTTTTTTAGACTCATTAGACACAGTGATACATTTCGAGAGTTTATTTCTGGTCATCTTGATCATTATGGCTGACAATTATTGAAAACCTCAATATGAAAACCTTATGAGCACTTTGTAATATACCAGATTTGATTTTGTGAAACTGAATTTTGGGTTCTGATTAGCAATAAGTCATAATCCTCACTTTGAAGAAATAAACCCTTGAGATATGTCACTGTGTGTTAATGAAATTGCATTATGAAGGTGATGACTTAAAAACCTGAAATGAACTCTTTAATTCGATTTTAATTTATTAAGATGCACCTGCATTACAGGTATTTATGTGTTGTGTCAACTTTCATGCTGGTGATGTTTTCATCAATGTATTTAAAATAATAAACTGCACATTTAATAACTTATGAAATGTAGCAATTCCTCCCTATAAACAGAAAAGTTAAATTTAATAAATAGTTCTCCATAAAAATATGTACATCTTAGACTGTTTCTTGTATTGCATTGCTCTGTATTAAAACAAGATAGTCACCATGAAGCAAATTGTTGAGCTG